AAAACAACAAAAAACCTCTCAACAAGACACCCCCCCCAACAACAACCAAAACAACAACAACAAAAAAACTGAACAAACCAAACCGAACCGAAACAAAACAAAACAAAACAAGCAAGGTCATCATTAGTTCACCGAGCACGATACCAGCTCAACTAATGGTACGTCCAAACCAACAGTGCATGTAGTTCGTGGCACCCCCATCGTTAGCGCAGCAGATAAATACTGCAGGTCCCGGTTCGAACTTAATAAGTGTCTGGTTTTCGGTTGTTCAAAGACTTGTCTTATACGACTGCTTCCCTCCAATTCACGGATATAAGGTTTTTTTAAAAGGAGAAAACATGAAGCGAGATAGATTTTGTTGAAATTTAATAATAAAAAGCAGCATTTTAACACAACATTAGTGCGAAATGGGAGTATAATCAGTTTTCAGCTGCACACAAAATCAAATTGCTCTCCATCTTTTACACATTAGAATCACATCATAATACTAGTAATGACTTGACCAAATATATCCCTGATGATTTCACATAACACATTCATTTGCTTTGCATAAATTAATATAGAACAATATTCAGTGATGAACAAAATGGATACCGATTAAAAAGGAAAATAAGAGAGGACCTGTAATGAACTAAAAGAATAAAACTGTCCTAACATTTCTATCAAAACTCAAGGAAATAAGTGTGATGACACTCCAACAATGATTACTCACACCAAACAAAAAGAAACAAACCATGGAATAGCCCGTATCAAAAGTACACGGACACAACAAGATGGAGAAACGGGCACACCTTGAGGCAGCATTTACCTCTTACTGCTGAACAAAACTTGATGTTTTGGTTAAGTTCAGTCAAACGACGCTGTTCTTAGTTTTACCGAAAGCTACATTTTTTCAAGCTGAGTATAGTAACACACTTTCACTGTGTCTGTCCTAATCAATTTATTTCTTTTTGTTAAAACACCCCAGGAACCTATTCCTTTCGTGCGTAATGTCGCTGAAAATAACTATGATCACAACCCAGCAATTTTGTGAATGGCTGAGTGCTTTACTTTTTTTTACAAACGGTTTTCTTTTTTGTCTACTTGTATTTTCGTTTATGATGCGAAGTGTGTCCATGACAGTCGGTGTCTAGATCACTCGTGTAGGTTTTTATGTACTCCCTAAAGTTTATGCACAATGAAAGAGGCAAGGTTATTGGCTATTGTATTTCATTAAAAGAAATTTGCTATAAGTGTTTGTTGATTTTGCAGCCACGTAACCTGGATAGACTATGGTGGTCGGTGGTGTTCATGTAGTTACGTAAATCGATTCTAAATTTATCAAAGACACTTAAAGAAAGGTAGGGACGTAATACTACTTAGTGCCAATACCAAAAGTAAATGAGAACAAGAGTTTTAGCAGTGGGTTCTGCAGTAACAGCTAGTGGCAACTCTCCTGGTGAAACGCTTCACGGACCATGGGTTGGTGGAGCAGACGGCGTAGAAACTGCGCAGTGTGTAGCGGCGCAGACAGCGGCCCACAGACGCACAGTTCTCGGTGAGCAGGGCACACTTGTTGCAGTTACAGTAGGCGGTGTAGATGGCGTTAGACGGGTAGAAAGGACAGCATCTGGCCGGGGGGTTGGAGCTGGTGTCGTAGAAGCACGGCAGACGACGTCTGTAGCTTCGGCAACCGTATCCTTGACGACGGGGGCAGCACCTCCAGGAGACCAGGTACTGAGACTCTGCGTAGGCCACGTAGGGGTTTACTTCTGCCAACTCTGTTCTGTACTCCTGCCTGAAGCGGTTCCGTAGATCCTCAAATGACACGCGCTCTTTTGGAATGTCCTCAAGTGGAACAAAGTCATTCTGCAAGGCTTCGTCTTCGTCTTCTTCCATTTCAACTTCCTTCTGCTGTGCACCTTCCAGCTGAAACTTTGTATCTGTAGGCAACAACAGAAGACCATTGCTTACAATGTAGGCTTATATATATATATATATATATATATATATATATATATATATATATATATAAATATAGTTTTCATTTAAATAAAATACACTTTATGTTGTTTGAAGACAGATCACGTGACCCCCCTTGCAATTATGTTGTTTGAAGACAGATCACGTGACCCCCCTTGCAATTAGCCGAGAGAAAAAGAAATAATTATTCAGCCCCTGCAGTGTAGGTTGTTTCCTTTTATTTCCTCCATGCAATAATTCTTTTAGTGACATTATTAACAAACTAATCAGTTGTTGCAGTCAAACATCTTGTTCCGGACATTTGTTTAAAATCAACAGGCTCCGACTGAATACACATTTGACTTTATTATTTTAAAGATAGAGAAACAGTGTTAAACGTCCTCAGAGATTCCCAGCTAAACTGTACAATACAATTAAAAAGAGTGGTAAATTTTTTAAGCGAATGGTCTCTTTAAAAATCAAAGACAAGGTGACAGACAAGTAAAAGTTAATATATGACGTAGGAGTGGAGGTGCTGGGCTGATGGTTAACGCATGGTACTTATAGTTCTGTTATCATAGGTGTGATTTCTCTGTCAAGGAAGTCGGAAGTTCAGAGGAGGATGCTTGACCTATTTTCTTCCGTTCGCCAAGTTGTAAATTATGGGCACTCAGTATTTAACAAAAAGACAGAAATAAATGACTGATTGGGATTCATGGTCTTGAGCATTATCAAAAAATGTGTTGTAGTTAAGTTTTAGTAAACATTTTACGGCACTTGAAACACATTTAAATGATATAAGTGCCGTGGATTAGAGGTATTACAAGAGAGTAATAAACTCAAAGCAAAATAAGGGAGGATGAGAGACAAGGACGACAGATGCTTGATACAAAAAAAGGTACAAACAACACCAGCGCGCCCACCAATCACTCGCCAACTCTGTGTGAAGTAGGAGAAAAAAGGGAGGCAGACAGGAATAAATACATATTAGAATAAAGAAACATGTACAGTAAAGCACCTTTTCTGGTGTCGTTCAAGCTTTTTACCAGACAGGCACAGTGACATCAACAGCCAGTTTTGGGTGTAGCTTAAACTTTAAAATTCAACACTCACCATCAAAGTAACCCTCGACTTCTTTTATAGGGTCTACCAGCGGACAGGCTGCTGGCTCAAGAGGTTTTTGGTCTACTGGTTGGCGAACAGCAGTTGATGAGCGCAGTCTTCGAGCTAGCGCTGGCCCCAGCACCAGGGTCATCAAGACCAGAAGATACGGAAGTCTAAGAGAGACCATGGTAACCGTATATCAAAATGGCAAATAAAGTTCCAAAGGTATCTTTCAGAGCTCTGAGGCAAGTGAACTGCAGCACTTCAGGGTAGAAAGGTTTGAGGATGCCTGATGTCGCATCACATTTATACATAAACCTTTCTCCTTTTCCACCAATCGGACGCTTCGCTTGTAACATCCGTCTCATTCACAACTTAGAATCACGTTTATCGTTATGCCTGTATAATTTATGATCTCTTTCTCTTTGAAAGGTAATTATCCATTATTGTAACAAAAGAGAAAATTGGCTTAAAGAACAAGGCGGATACAAGAGAGGAGCTGAACGTTAGATCCGGGTACATTTTAGGAACCCTGTCGAAAGCTACACGCTTGAATGATGTTACGCCAAGAGTACTATATTTATAGTTATTAAGTCACATATTAGACAGAGAGAAAGAGGCATGCACGCGCGCAGATAGATAGATAGATGGATAGATAGATAGATAGATAGATAGATAGATAGATAGATAGATAGATAGATAGATGGATGGATGGATAGACATGAGTATAAGTACCCACACAAAAATAAACACATCATGTAAAGAAAACAATACACATAATAATAGGAATATCACAAAAAACATGTATACCTTTGTTTATCACTTGCACGCACTCACAAACACACACACACACACACA